TGATCACGTTTTCAGCGGTTGCGAATAAACTATAAACAAATTTTTCTATTATTAGGTTGGTAAAAAAGAAATGAGCGTTGTGTTTGTTGATTTGTATTTTATTCACAGTAAAAGATTTTTTAAAATAGTTTATTCTATTGGAAAGAGCGTGTTCTTGCGCATCGTTTCATATATAATTTGTCTATGTTTACTTTGTTTTTTTACAAGAAAGAGTGTTTAGAAAATGTCGGACCAAAAATTTCGCTTGCGGGCCTGCTTGTGGTATGAATTTAAGCAAGGCAAATCGGCTGCTGAAGCTCATCGCGCTCTATCTCAAGTGTTTGACGAAGATGCTCTATCCGAAAGTCAGTGTAAACGATGGTTCCAGCGCTTCCGAGACGGCGACGAAAGCTTGGAAGACCAAAAACACGGGAGTCGACCTCAAATCATCGACAAGGTCCAAATTTGGGTGTCCAACTTCTTCGAGTCGCAACCGATCGAGTTCTTCAAGAAGGGCATCCATTCTCTGCGTGAACGTTGGCGACAAGTCATTGATGCAGATGGCGAATACCTTTTGGATTAATGTATTGTTATCTTGTTTTTATAATAAAATAAACTTTTAACGAAAACGCGCATTTCTTTTTTACCAACCTGATATATTTAATATCATTGAATCATTGAATTTCATGGGCTTTACTCATTTGTGACAAGAATTTGAAAGGGTTGATTTTAAAGGGTTCAAAGGGTTTTCTCGTTATGCACTTTTTCCAGTTTCCTTTCCATTTCCTTTCCAGTTCCAGTTCCAGTTCCAGTCTCAGTTTCAATTCATATTTCCAAGCTTACAACCAGAAACAAAAGTTTGTACACGTTTATCTCAAAGCAAAACACAAACCGTATTGGCAGAGTCAAGCGATCATTTGTTGCAGGGAAATAAATCGCAAACGGTGAAATCAAGAGACTCAAACATATTACCTAAACGTTTATTTCATCTTGATTTTAACCATTCATAAGATTTTCAGCTTCAAAAATACGTGCAACAAAAGAAGCCAATTGAAATCCCGTTTCCACGATGGTAATGGTGGAATACCGAATGGTGGTTTTGTTTCCGACAAAACTCCATTTGTTGTCGTAGCCGATTTTGCTTACGGTGAACATCCCTAAATCATTTTCTATTGGATTGGTGAATTGAAAACTGCCGGCTATTGTGATATTTGACACTTTGAGCACTTTCTTCAAAAGAAACCCATTTTGGTGTCAATGGAAAAGTTGTAGAGAATCAAAAATGAAGCTTATATCCAGATTTTCAGAACGATTCAAAAACTGTTTTTCAAGAAATGCCAAATTTACGAATTTTCACAAAACTTGCATTTTAAGCGAAACTACTAAGTGTATCTTTTTGGAAATTTGGCTATAAGCCTAATTTTAGTCGAAAAATGGGGAAGGTTTGTTGGAAGAAATTGCTGAAAGAAATTTGAAATTTTGATGAAATTTAGTTGAGAGACGATAAAAAAGCATCTCGAGCCGAGAAGCTTCTGATGATGCAGGTGGGGCAATATTGAGGATTTTTTTAATCACTTTGCACTGATCATTTTTTAAACTTTAAATGATTTATTGGGGTAATTGCTAAATCGATTGGTGATAGTTTCAAATCGTTTTAAACAAACCAGGTAAGCGCTATTTTGAGCCCTACTCAAGATACCCTTTCTAGAGGCTAAGGGTCTGGGTAGACTTGTGTTGTGGGAGGTGAACTTGTGTTTCGGTTGAACCGGAAACGTTCTTTTTCGGTTCGGGTTCGGTTTCGGTTTCGGTTAACCGAACCAAACCGAAAAACTCATCTTTTCGGTTGAACCGAAACCGAACCAAAACGAAAAATCCATCTTTTCGGTGCAACAGATCCAAACCGAAATTCGATAACGTGCGATAAAGTGAACCAATGCAATACGCAATAAATCGAATGCAAATTACGCCAAAGTCTGGGGGGTGGGACAAATGCGACCTTTCTTTTAATGTTGTCTGCGGTCATTTTGAGACCAAAATCGTATTAATTGGTCAACTCACAAAAAATTTATAACATTTTGAAGGCAAAAATGACGTTTGACGACTTTCTGCGCGCTAAAACGTGGATAATACCGTAACCCTTCCCATGGCGAAAAACAAAACTACTTAAGGGCGCTTGCAAAGAATTTTTTTTTCAGTTTATTTTTCTTCTTTTTACGAGCTTTCTTTATCATTTTCATGTCATAATAATTGTTTCTTTTTTTCAGATACTTCATTGATGACCAGATCAAGTGTTTGATTGTTTGAACCGAATATTGATGTCTATCGAAATTCGTCGTAAAAGAACAGCAAGAAATGGCAGGAACGAAAAGACGCTTTAGAGGTAGTTTTTGTGTGCATTACTCAAAGATAAACTGACTAAGGAACAATAAGTAAACTAGATAAAAATAAGGTTTTAAACAAAGTTTGTTGTTTGGGCACTCGCGAAGCTCATCTCCGACAATCCAAATCTCGATCCGAAGGCCAACTATGGAGAGTTGATTGGCACACTGAACAAGGTAGTTTTTGTTGTGAATGTCTTAATTCTCTGTGTTTTAGCTACTTGACAAAGAGTCAAACGTCAATGTGAATGCTGTAGCAGCCAAATGTCTTGCCGGAATCGCTTATGGACTACCTGCCAACTTTGGACCACATGCTTCAACGGTAAAAGCTTGTGACTTGTTTGTTTCAACGGCTTTTTAGGTGTTCCCAACTGTACTTGAGAAGCTAAAAGAGGAAGAGGCGTTGCTTCGAGGGCCGGTTGTTGAGTGCTTGGATAAAGTTGTATTGACGGTTTCGTGATTTGTTTTGAAATTAAAAACCTTATTTAGACTTCACTCGATTCTCTTCAAGAAGCCCTAGTTGGTGGATTGGAGAGCAAGAACCCGCAAATCAAAGCCCAAACAGCTGCATTTCTTTATCGTGCCTTCAAGAAGTCCTCGGATGAGACAGGAAAAGCCACACTTAAAGCCCTTGCCTCAAAACTTGTCAAGGTAACTTACGGTTGTTTTTCTTTAATCATATTTTTAGAATACTTCGGACGCGGATGATGAGGTTCGATCAGCGTCTATTGTAGCTTTGGGATCAATGCTCCGAGCAACGGGTCCCGGAGTATATGCTTTGATGGAAGAAATCACCGAAGATGAAGCGCGAATGGAGAAAGTATGTCGTTGTTTGAATGTTATAGCCATCTATCTAAATTTTAGGTTCAAGCAGCTCTAGGGCAAGCAAAATTAGAAGTCGCCGAAGAACAAGCGCAATAAGCAATAGCAGCAACTCGACCAACTGTCGAACATGCACAAGAGGCCGAAGAGCAGACATCCGCAGCATGGGTCAAAGATGTCGAGTGGTTCGATATTTTGTTGTGTTTTAATTAACCAAAACCTCTAGGCACGACGACGACGCTTTGCTCTACGACGACTATGGCCTTTTCGAATACCCGGGACACTACCAAACTCCTAATCAGAAGGAGCAGCGCTTGACGGATTTGAACGCTCAACTTTGACTCTAGAGGATTCTCGGTCACTTCTCGGAACGTTTGCGTCAACGACATGGCTACAACTCAATAATCCAAATCTGGAAAGTAAGGGGGAAATATTCGGGGGCTATGAAAAATGAAGCAACTTTGAGGACTGGCTTCTCGATCCATATAAAAGCTAGTTTAATAGTATAGTTAACTTTTAGTTAATTTGTAATTCTCGCCAGGTGCTATAACTTTGTTTGTACAGCAATGGCCTATCTTTTAAGTGACAGAGAAATCGGTCCTTTTAAATTTGACTCCCTTTTTAAGGCATCGGATCTTTAGATCGAATAATTGAGTGAAGCTAAGGATATTTTGAAAATTCTATCTGACTTCTTTCAGCGATGAGCAAGCTACAAATCAGTATCTACGACTTTCTCCGGAAGAACATTACCTACGCACAGTATGAAGGCGAAGAAATTACTGAAGCCGGTCAAATGCGCGTTTGCTTCAAGGTAAATGCTAGAGAAAGGGTACAATGATGAAACAATTTATTATAATTTTTTCTTTTAAGGTCAACGATCTGAGGAAGAACCCGACGACAATGGTGGTGTGTGTATCTGATGAGCTCTACCTGCCTGATCTCCTTTTCCAAGATGGTCGTCCAATCCGAAAAATTATCACCGTGTTCTTCCCGTCGAAGACGAACGTCATTCGTAAAAGTTTTTGAACAATTGCTTCGCTTCTTGTGCTTGTGCGCATATAGATGGTTTCGATTACCGCCTCATCTTTCTTTGTGATACCTATGATACCAATACTTCACTTTTCCCCTGCTTTATCTTATTTTACTTACTCTTGTCCCGTTCTGTGCTATCTATATTTCATCCAATCTTTGATCATCAGTCTATTTTAAATAAAAATGTTCATTTGAAAGGTTTTGAATTGAAAAATTCGCAAGTTACAGCTTTCACAGAGCAAAAGCGTTGAGAAAAAGATTACCAGAAATTTCCGTAAAATTCATCAACTTCAGAACGCACTGACACGTTCACAATCAATTAGACTTCTAAAAAATACGGATGGTATCAAATCATTTTTTTACAGGTCATGCGGTTCAAAATGAAGAGTTGTTTGAAGTCATTTCCAATGGAGAAGTTGTGTTTCGATTTGAAGTTGGAAGTGTTGGAGCAAATGGACCCGAGGGATGTGCTTGAGTTGGTTAAGGTGAACGAAGGGTTCAAAGGGATGCTCGTGAGGGATCCGTCGATCGTTTTTGGAGAGCGCGTCTTACGGATTGCCTTAAACAATGAGGCGATTTGGATCGAACAGTTTTCCAATTCAATTTTTGCGTTTCGAGTATTTGATGACGACGACGACGACGCATTTTAAACCGAAAAAGCAAAAAGATATTTTATGCTAGTTGTATTTGACTTTATTGAAAATATAAATAAACATAGATACTGCCAAAATCGAGTTAAACAATCACGATTTATATACAGAAACGATGAAAAAGATGTGCGATATTCTATCGACACAGCTCATTTCTCCGACAACACGTGTGCGGTTCGTGATTTCCGAAAACGCACTCGGTAAGTGAGATCCATTTCTGAAAAACTGGCATAAGTGATTTGATGGATGATTCGTGAATTAATGTGTTGCTATGGTCAAAATCTCTTTTTGCAATTATTTCTATACGCTCTGAGCAAAATGAAAATCGAGTACCATTTTTTTTGTTTCTGTATGTTTTCACATTAAATTTCGATTGAAATGCATATTGATACGTTCGTTTTTTTTATTGAGTCAAGCAGAAACTCACCCTCAATAAATTCTGCGAACACTCGAAAGGCTTTTGCGCTTTTCGACACGATTTCATGATTTGATCCTCTGGGCACACGATGATTTGGGGAGCGATCAGCTTTGTCGCATCACATTGCTGAAATCAGATTGTTGTCTTTTTTGGAGGGCGGTGTAAACAGACTGGCAGTCGTTGCTAGGATTACACATCAATTACACGCCCCATTTTTTTCGAATTACGTATACAGAGTGCGTCATAATTATGGGTCCAGATAAAACAGTCGGAATTAACCAAAAAACAAGCCACCCAAAGATAACAAAGTTTTTATAACAATATTTATATGTTAACAAGTGTAAAACTCAAATTTCAAAAATTCATTCGTCGTGGCGACGCACGCTTCAAGACGTGGGCACAAGGCGTCAACTCTGGCACGCAAGCAGACAGCATGAAGCTCGTCCCATGCTTTAAGGAGCGCTTTCTTTAACGAGTCAACTGTTCGATGTGCACGCCTTAGCTTCTAACATTGACCAGAATGAAAAAACAAGCGGATGAAGATCCGGCTAGCTTGAAGACGTTGAATGAGATGTAACCGGGAAGGTTTTGCTCACACCAATCCTTGACCATTCGAGACTTATGCTTGGTGCTCCATCTTCCTGAAATACCCAGCTACGTTGTCCAAAATGAGATTGAGCCCAGGGCAAAAACGTCTTGTCGCAAAATGCCCAAATATGCTTGACTGTTGACCTCGACTCTTGATGGCACGAAGACAAGAGTCTTTTGATCGTCAGTGATCCCTGCGCACACCATGACGGAAGCTGGAGGAAGATCATGATATCGATTTGTGTGGGTTGGAAATGGCATAAATTCGGTCATTTCGCTTGTTTAGCACTTGAAAGTTGAATAATTTTTCATTTGTGAACAAAATCTCACGACAGCCGCGTTGAATGAGAGGGTGAGGACATCGCTCTTTTCTTTTTGGCAGCTTCGGTGAGCTCTTGACATTTGTTCTTTTTGAAAGCTTTCATCTTGAGTTCGTGCCGCACAATTCGATGCAAGGAAGGCTCAGAAATTCCCAACTTGCATGACATGAGCTGGACTGATCGTTCCGGGTTACGACGCAACCTCTCTCGCACTTTTTTGATGTTGGACTGAATCACTACAGAACGCCGTTTTCCTCTCCGAGCTCTATCAGCATTTGTTCCCAATTTCTTGAAGTGTTTAATCGTTTTGTTCACGAGCCGCGTAGAAACTTCTAAATTTGAAGAGATTGCACGTGTCAAAAGCCCCCGTCGATGCAACGCTATGATCGAGTTCCGATGAACGCTCGGCTTGAACATCTCTAAAAACACTATATAACCTTCGAAATTATATCAAATAACAAGGGTAAACATGAAAAAAGCAAAAGATATAAAATAACATATAGGTGACACCAAATGGTCACAGATAAAGCTGACACCCGCAGGTCCATAAATCTGACGCACCCTGTATTTGAGGCTGCCGCAAGGATGGACCGAAAAGCCAAAAGCGAACGGTCAAGCCAAAAGCTAATGGATTTTAATTGGCTTGGCTTGGCCGGGACAAGGAAAAGCCAAATTTTGCGTGCAGAAGGTCGAGGGCTCAATTCCCCATGCCAACTCAATTTTTTTTTGTTTTCATTACAATTGCTTTGCAAAGATGTTTGTTATTAATTAGGACACTATTTAAAACTTTTCTAAGCAATGGATAAACATTTTTAGGTGGCTGAATTTAAGTCTAGCTTTAGTGCCTTGCGATACTTAGTTTTTGGCAATTGGCTTGGCTTGGCCCGGAAAAAAGGTCTCGGTTCATCCCTGCACATAAGTAAGGAAAGAATCAAAAAATAGTCTTACCGTAACCGACTCAACACAAGCAGTGCACCACGGAGTTGCCGCAAAAATCGTCATTGAGAAGAAAATGAGTAAAACGAGGAACGAGCGAAACATTTGTGTGATGGTGACCCGGGAATTGACTTCTCGGTTGGTCCCTTAAGTACTCACTTCTCTTTTGCCTCTTTTTTTAAGAGGAAGAACAACGGGAAACACGTTTTTTTCCTCTTCAAGAGACAAACAATAAACAATCAAAGGGGAAAAGGAAACAAAACGAGAAATACCGGCTTCATTTCATTTATTTGACAGGTGCAAAGACAATGTTTACTCCCGAAATTTGCCCTGATGTAACTTGTCTGTTGATTAAACAATTTTGGGTACTCGTCGATTTTACTCCCGCCGATTTTTACCCCGAAATTTGTTCAGTCTCACTTACAGAGTGTACTTTAAAACACAATTTTGCAACTTGTTTATGCTCATTGAAGCTCATTTAGGCCATCATAGAGCCAGTCGCACGATTCGAAAGGCTTACCGGCCACGTGAAACACTTGAAGCAAATCAAATCCACCCTGCTGTAACATAGAAAACTTTGTAAAAGAAGAAAAATAATAAATCATAATAAAATGCCTACCTTGTTACCCTCTTTGACCATTCATCGATTCTTTTCGTTGCAAACGACAGGGTAGCTCTCGGCAAAGAAGAGAATTTTTAGTAGAACCATCGTAGATTAGTAGTAGATTTTAGTAGATTTGTTTTCAGTTCTTGTCGGGCTTTTTTGCTTTGCATACTGCTTTGCCAATTGCTTTGCATATTGCTTTGCATGTTGCTTTGCATATTGCTTTGTATATTGCTTTGCATATTGCTTTGCATATTGCTTTGCATATTGCTTTGTATATTGCTTTGCATTTGCATACCAGGTCTGGTTTTCGGTTCAACTCATTCAATTAGAATTTTGTTTTTCATTTTCGATCTGAATCAAACTGATTCAATTCGAGAAAAGTCAAACCGAAAACCAGATCTAATAAACACATTTGAAGAATATAATTTAAGAAAAGAAAACAGAAACTCAAGAATTTCACAAAATAAAATCAAAGTTCAAGCTCAAAGTTCAGAAAGTTCAATATGCAAATAGAGGACCAAAGAACCCATGGCTTGTAGGACCAAAGAACCCATGGCTTGTAGGACCAAAGAACCCATGGCTTGTAGGACCAAATTCAAGGTCTATGAACGACTGCACAAATTGATTGGATTCACACGAATCACTCGGAAATTCAAATCCGTATCACGACTGATTGGGTTTGGCTTCTATGGATTTGTGTTGAAATGAATAAAATGCTAATTTACGGGATGTCAGTGCCGTGGCATCTTCTTTACGCTACCGGAAATAACGCTTTGCTGTGCTCGTGGTGGACGATGATTTTTTTTGTGGCTCCTTCGGTAGCTTCTTTGCCTGATTACTTACAAAATGTTGAGATTAATTGTAGCTCTATACCTTGTGCAAAGACAAAAAAAGACAAAGACAAAAAAAAACCATATTTGCGTCAGATGAAATTTCTCCATCTTACGTACCGCTAATTGGTGATGTTTTTCTATCAAAATGTAGCCCTTAAATCGGGCTGGAAGATGGTGCAAAAATTTCTTGAAAATAATTGTATTTAATGGAAAAAAGAAATTGCATTTAAAGTGAAAGCATCAGTGTAAATTTTCATAGCTATCCAAACGACATTGATGCTTCGTTGAATTAAATGTTTTTAGCCTCAGCTAAAAGGCACCTATTTGGGGAAACCACAAGCGACCACAAATGGAAACAAGATCTAATTGTGTCAATCAAAGCGCTGAAGACGTCCTACGGTGGAGGAGATCCAGTCACTTCTGGTGAAGATGCGCTGGAAATTGATAAGATAGGAAGCCGATTTGAGGAACTGCTGTACCTGAGCGAAGATGAAAGTGAGCAAGAGGAAGAATTATAGATTAGCAACTTATAAGTGACGATCTTGTTTTTCTCCAAGCCTTGCAGTGTCTCCAAAAATTTGTAAACCCATCAAATCACTCTAGCGGGGTGATTTTTATTCTTTTTATAATTAAATCAGCGATATGTGGTGGTGGTTGCCGTAAAAAAAATTTTTATCGTTACCCGGCCGCGATTCGATCAAGCACTCTCACTGCTTTATTTCATCAGTTTTTTTCTAATCTACAGGATGTCCCAAATCTACCCGAACCAATAAAACTCATGATTTAAAAATCTTTTCATTGAAAAAACAAAAATTAACATTTTCTCCATGGGCACAAGCGGCGAGACGTTTTGGAAAGCCGTCGATGATAACCAAAAGATAGCCCAGGCTTTCTGGAGTCATTTTTTTCAATTTATCAATGCTTGAATGCGCTTTTGAGCAATCCTTTGCTTTGAGAACATTCCAGATTGAGTAATCCATCAGATTTAAATCGGGGCTTCATGGTGGTCACGGCTTAAAGCTGATGAAATCCGGGAAGTGACACTCTTGGACAATTCGGGCTTTGTGGGCAGGCGTCCCATTATGCTGAAAGCAGCAAATTTTGTTTCCGAAGTGGTTTTGTGCCCTGTGCACTTCCTGCTTCAAAATATCTAGATAATTTATTGCGTTTACTTTGACGCTGTGTTGAACAAAAGTTAGTGGAGTCTTCCCTTCAGCAGTGATTCCGGCGAAGACCATGACGGATTTGGGATATCCAGCACGTTGAATCACTTGGTTTTGTTGGCTTTTTGCATAAATCCTGTTGTTCTCAGTGTTCAAATTCTGCTCGATGGTGAGCACCTTCTCGTCAGTAAAAGAAGATGTTTCGGTAATCGATGCCATTGAATCGTAGCATCAGACCCTCGCGCTTCTTTTTGGACGCCTTGTACAGGTATTAGGGTAGTTGTTTTTGCGTTAATGACTGAAATCTGGAACCATTTCACAAAGGGCATCGGCAAAATCACCAGAATTCAGCCAGAATGTAATCAACCAGAATTCCGGACAGAATATGCATGGAATGCAATGGAATCAACCAGAATGCAGGAACCAACAAATGCTCGGCGTCGTCATCTTGAACAGAAATATCAAGTTATTTTACCAAGAGCTTTACCAAAAAATAGGATTACAAACTTTAAAAGAGTAAATTGGGCATTGGTCAGTTCTGATCGTTACTATTACTCTTGCAGTAAGGCCCTACCCTGGCAATGGATACTTGTCTAGCCATTGGTAGAGTGTTCGTCCGATAAGCGTCGTGTTTCTTGTTTTCAGCTAGTTTATTCTAGATTTCAGGTGTTTTTTAAAGTTTGCCCGACACCTGCATCAACACAGGATTTTTTGCGCCAAGAGAAAGCCAGAATGAGTCAATTTTAAAATTCTTCATTGCGAACAATTTACCTTTTTCAGTGGTGAGATATTTCAGTTGTTTTAATAGTTGTTTAAACGTTTTTAATTGTTTTTAGGTCGAATCTGAAAGCTTCCAGAAAATGTGCGACGTAATTGCAATGGCAAACTCAAGCAAATAGAGTTCCCTGTGCCTCTCTCAACTTTTAAAAGACAAACACTTTTAATAACTCTCTTTTTGGTTCACTTGTTTCCTCTTGTAATTTCAGCGATAAAATCTAGTTTTTTGAAAAGGAAAAGAGATGAGAAATTGTCCTAGATCATGAAAAAAATAGATGAAAAACGACTTGCCCAAATCAGTCTTTTTCATCTAGATCGAAGTTGTAGATCTTGAAAAATTTTAAAGAGTTGAAAGAGTTGAAAGATGTGCTAAAATTTCCCTAAATTTTATGAAAAAGCAGCAAGTCTTGCGTTTGATTTCTGTGCTTTTTAGCTAGTAAAACATCAGATAAACGTTTAGCTCTCGAGATTGTTTAGCGATAAAGTCCCTGGGACTTTTACAGTTTTCGAGTTATTAGTATTGGGTTGTCTGGACACTTGCTTTATTATTTTATAGTAACTGGTTACTATTAACGATTATTTTATAGATTATTATACTATACAATCATACTGTACAATTATACTATACAATTATACTATAAAATCATCCTTCTATTGGGTTGTCCAGTTTTGAATGCGCGTTTTTTACTATTCTGTAAATTTCTCAAGATACCGAAATCAAGAAAAAGATATATATGAGTATTATTCGAAAGCTGAAGATCTCCTCTACATTTTGATATCAAAAGCTTTTGAATTTGTTCAGCTTTTGGGCAAATTGACTGCACAGAAGAAGAGGTGGCCAAAAAATGAAAGGGTGCCTTTGGATCAAGTTTTGGCTCCGCTCAAATTGAGTCAAGCGTTTGATGTTTGGCCAATAGATATATCAATACAAGTTTTTTTAAAATATAACAATTTCAAAGCATCTTCACTTTTCTTTTCTTTTCTGGGCGGTTATTTTACACCATAAAACTTGAGGAATAGCTAAGCTGGAATGGGTTTTTTCGAAAACGACCTCTCCCTTTGTGCAGTCAATTTCCCAAAAAGTTGAATGAATTCAAAAACTTTTTTATTCCAAAATGTAGAGGAGATGTTCAGCTTTCGAATGATATATAACACTCTTATACATCTGTTCGATATCTTGAGAAATTTACAAAATAGTAATTCATAACTGGACAATCCAATAAGAAAAAAAGCTAATCTTTATTGTCCCTCCTGGACTTTTTTTCCCCTTCTTTCCCTTTAAATCCCCTTTACTTTCAAAATTCAAATTGTAACTTTCGCCAAGAGTTTACCACTTTTCCCTATTGACACACCTCAAAATGTGTGTGGTCGAGGAAAGGGGAGAGCTTCGATATGTTTGTTCTTCGATATGTTTGCAATTACAATTGCCCGGTATACCAGTTTGTCTCAAAGAAAGGGAAAAGCTGTGTAAACGAGAAAGAAAAATATTTGGGTGAAAAAGGAAAAGATTGACAGACACTGGCAGACTCCTTCAACAGTGTCTATTCGAAATGTGTGAGAGGTGAAGGTCAAAAAGGGAGGAAAGCATTGAAAGGAATGCCAGAGAAAAGCAGGAAGTGTCAGGGGAAAAGCACACTTTAGCCTTGTCTGAAAAGATGATGTTGAAACGTGTCTGGAAACTCTTTT